TTGTTATTACTTTTATATTTTAATTATTGCTTTAATTATTATTTATTATTATCTCTTCATATATATATATATTTTTAATAATAATGTTTATTTATTTTTGATATCAAAGAAAAAGGCAGTCTTAATATAACTGGATGTCTTATTCTGGTATTTTAAAATAATTAAATATTATAAAAATTATAATTTAGTTTTATTTAAAATATTAAAATTTTAATATATTTTTATCAAAGAAGAGAGCTGTCTTAAGATACCTAGAAGCTATTTTCTGATATTTTTGAATAAATAAATATCTTACTATATTAAAATAAATTTTTGTCATAAAAAATGTTTGTCATTTATTTATTTTTTTAAATATTGAAGAAAAGAGTTGTTTTAAGGCACCTAGAAGTCCTTTTCAGATATTTTTAAATATTTTTTATAATTTTGAAATAATAGTATTATAAATTAAATATATTTGAATTTTTTAAATTTATATAATAGAGACAATTTATAATAAAAAGTACCAATTTTTGGGCGTTGTAGGGGTGCTAATCCTTCTCTAAACGTAACCGACCACGAATCCCTTTTATTATTAAAAAGAACGAATTTTTGGTTATAAACGCAGATCAGTTCATCTTTTAACTGATGTTTTCTTAAAAACTCTGTTAAAAGATAATTTTTAGGTATTCGACCTACCTGATCCAAAAGGCCGATGGCGACTCCCAAATTATTTTCAAAACTATTTATTCACATCAATTTCACCGCCAAATAAATTTTTCGTGCCCGGACGAAATCCGGTTACGACACCAGTGAGTAGGTTAACGTCCAACTCAGACGACCGTTAATTTTTTAACGAAGAATGACGAGTTTAGAACATACGAATAGTCAAGTGACTATTTTGTAACTTTTAATAGTTGGGGTACTCAACAAAAAATGCCTTATAGTCAATGGACTATTTTATAAATTTCAATAGTCAAAGGACTTAATAAAATATCACCCTATAGTCAATGGACCATTTGTTTACTTTACCCTTAAATAATATGTTTTAGTTCAACTCATTTATATGGGTATAAAATTTTGTTACTTGATTGATGTACACTATTAAGAAAAACAAAGTTATCTTGAGGTGGATTTGATTTTTTTAATGAAAAATAAGTAAATATTAATTATTTTGATGATATTATATTCACATTTCAAATGGTTTAATATATTTAAGTTTTTCAAGAATAAATTTAAATCAATCGATTAACAATTTTTTTTAAAATAGCATGTATGAAAGTCAAAAAGGATTTACCTCTTTATCTCTATCCTATTTTTTTTAAAATATTTTGGGTCGTCTCTTCTTTTCTTTTGATTTTTGTTAGTTGACGACGACACTAATTTTAATAGTAATTGTTGATTATCGGTGATTTTTTTTTTCATATTATGTTTTTTGTTTTTTATGGAGTTTTTTTTTAATTTTAAATAAGAATCTTTATCATTGTGACAAGTTTTTTCTATGCTCTTGTGGTATGTTTTTTCTCTGTCGATATAATCAAAAATTGTACAATGAAACAGCCTGTCAAATTATTTGGTTCGCTCACAACTCATTTATCACTTCGTAAATCATTTCATGAAGTTTTTATGAAGGTTATTGAGTTCTTTTGATATTTGATGTTATTCTCAATGAAATATTTCATTTTTTTCATATCTTTCGATTTAATATTTGTATGTATGAGTTTTTTGTGTGACTATTGTCCTTTTTCTCTCTTCATATTTGGTTGTGTTTTAATTTTGATTCATTTCATTCTTTTTTATTAATAAAAATCAGTTACCATTGTTTAAAAAAATAACATGTGTGAACTTTGTAGATGATGGAACACTTGAAATGCATCGAACTCTCAACTGGTAATCATCTTAAAGTAGTTTTGGAGGCTTTATTTTTTATGTTGCTGAAGTGTCATAGAATTCAACTCATTAATTTGTGCTTTGCGGATGCCTTGTTAATTTTTACCAAGGAGATATTGGACTCTATTCTATCAGTTTTCGGGGTTACGTTTAAACTCGTCCAAAACTGAATTTTTTTTCTTCAGGTGTTGATGCAGAACGTTGGAAGCTATTTATGATGCCACAGGGTTTAAAAGGGAAAGCTGCTTGTTAGGTACATTGGTATCCCCTTGATCATTAGGAGACTTACGGTGCGAGATTGTAGCCATCTTATCGACAAGATCTCTCAGATATTGCAGAGTTGGAAAGCTCGGCAGCTTTCTTATATTGGACAGTTGCAATTGATTCAATCGATGATTTACAGCACACGTAACTACTGGAGTAGACAATTGGTTCTCCCTGGGGTTGTCGTCAAAAGAATCAATTAAATGTGCTATAGATTCTTTTGGAAGGGTGAGGATAAATTCGTAAGAGCGCTCGTGTTAATTGGTCTGCTATTTGTCGTCCCAAGTCGAAAGGGGGTTTGGGGCTCAAGGATATTCGTGGTTGGAAAAAGCCGTGTCTCCTCCAGTTGATTCAAAAGCTACTTCTCAAGGAGGGATCGATGTGGATTGCATGGATTGGTGCCTATGCTTTGAAGGGTCGTTCTTTTTGGCAAGTTCGCAACCCACACAGTGGTGGATGGGTGTGGAGGAATCTGATGCGCCTTAGACCTCAGTTTGCTTTGGTACAGTGCCGCTTTGGAGATTCCGAGTGGTCGTTAGCAGCCATTTTGGATGTGATTCAGGCGAAAGAGGCAAAGGTTCGGTGGGATAGGCTTGTTTGGCAGCCGGGTCAAATTCCTTGTAATTCAGTGATTGCTTGGATGACTTTGTTGAATAGACTCCCTACCAAGGATAGACTTCATTCCTTTGATTTGCACATTGATGATAGTGGTGTGTGTAATTTGTGTTTAGAGCAGTTAGAAACAAGAGATCATTTATTCTTCACTTGCAATTACTCTAAGCAGGTGGTTCTTAGTGTTTGTTGTCTGTCGGGACAAGTGGTTGATTGGGCGTGCTGTAGTCTGAAGGGGAGATCTCTGAGGTCTGTCATGCTTAGGATTGCTTTGAATTGTTATACTGCCTCGATATGGAGGGAAAGGAACAAGTTGCTGGGCCGCTTTGACTGGTCACTGCTCAATTTGTGACTGTTTGCAGGCAATCTGCTTGCTTTGTTTTTAATTTGTGCAGGTGGTCGGGTTGAATTTGTATCCAGCTGAGAGAGTTAGGTGCTTGTAAGTGGTTTATGTACTGTTGAGTTTGTTTGGAAATGAATATATTAGTTATATCATATACTTAAAATTATACTTGAACGATTAGATGTCAATAAAAACATTTTATATCGTACAAATTTTAAAACATTTGTATATTTATAATACGTATATATTTTTCATAAACATAATTTAATTGTTTTTTGTTATTATTTGTATGGTGTCTAATATTGTCATACCCAAATCCTCCTCTCAATATGAAGGTTGTTAATGAAAGTCTTTAAATCTTTAGGCTTCAACTCTGATAAAAAGTAGCTTTGCTTTCGGTTGATCGTTTAAACCTCTTCTTTTGCTTTGAAGTCAAGAAGTGTTAGCTTTCGTAACTATACTTATCAATAAATTCAAAATTTTAAAATGAGGTTCAACTTTTTTAATATTATTAGGTATATAATTTTTTTATTTTCCTTTAATATATTGACTATGCTTAATAATTTATCTAAACTATTGAATATGCACTTAATCTGCTAGGAGACTAATCTGCTAGGAGACCAAGTGTATCCGTCCCTGATATTTGTTATGTGCGTATGTGTATATATATAAAATGATCAAGTATGAACTTAAGGGATCACAATGGTTAAAAGATTTGTTAATATCCTTTTAAGTTTCGGGTTCGAGCACTACATATGCAAGGGTATAAGCGTTCATTATCAAATGATTAAAAGTCTTTGAACAAATATTACTTTGTATTCGTCTCAAGTTTATAAAAATAATCATAAATATTATACATATTCATAAAGTTGGATTATTATGCGATATGAATGAAAATACATGATTATAATCATTAATACAAATAAAAGTTACCATTATCACGTAGAAATATAATTATTGTCACCAATAACTAGTTAGTTTACCAACAATTAGTTGATTTAGTAGGATGAGACATTATATTTTTTAAGCAAGGTCAGGTGTTCAAAATTTGTTGTTTGATAATAGAGCAAACTGGATTGGAAGGGTTGCCCTCGTCTCTGCAGTACTCGATCTGGATTAATCGATCAATAGATCGGATATCAGTGATTAATTAAAAAAATAGCTAATTTAATTAGATGAGACACTAGATCCCTCAAGCTAAGTCAACAATTCAAATCCCAGTGTTTGAGAATTGAGCAAATTAAATTGAGATGATAGATTATCCTTGCATCCGTAGTATTCGACCTGAATTAATCAACTATAAGTCGAATACCAATAATTATAAAAAGATAATTATTGTAAAGCAAATAATAATTGGATCAATTATCATATTAAAATTCTAATTTTAAATAATTATATCCTAAATTATTTGCATGCTTATTAAAGTGAATAGGACAAATATGCACCAATTCATTTGTGTATGTATATAATAAAATTATTTGATGTAAACACGCCGATTAATCATTTAATCTCAAATCTATAAAATTAATTTATTTTTTTGGATAAATATAAACATATTTTAGTTTGATTATCAAAATTGTATATGTATATAGTGAAATAGTTTTAATTTTATTTATATTAAAAGTGAAAATTGGGTGGTTAACAAATAATGTTCAAACAATTAATACAAAATTATAAAATCAATCATACCAAAAATAAATAAAAACTGGATAAAAACAATTTTAAAAAAATATATATATCTATTTTGACAAAATTGCAAACAACAATAACATTATTTTTATAATTTTACTATTTCCAGAAATTCCAACAAATAGAATAACAAATGAAATTATGAGAAATTAAAGAAAATCAGGAGGAAGAACAAAAAAATACTTTATGTTCAAAAGATTTATGTGTCTCTCTCTCTCTTCAATCGTCGTATTGCACCAGCAAATTTCCACCTGATTTTAATCTTAAAACAAAAAGGCCCCTTTTTCATCAATTGTTTCTTCTGGAACCCTAAAACACTATTAAATCCCCAATTTACATTAAAAAAACAGAGAAAAAATCACTTGTAGTTCCATTCCACTTTTCAATTCATTATAGTTTTTAGTCCAAAGGAAATACCTTTTTTATATTCGTTTTTCCTTCATTTTTTCGTCGATCATTGTTTCAGAATTCGTTTTCTCTTTGATTCTTTTTTCTTTGGAAAGCAATTAAAAAAAATCGTATCACGTTTCTTTCACTTCGTATGATTATATACAGAAATGGAGCCAAGCTTGCTTCAATGGGAATCCGACACTTTATTCTCAGCAGCCGAAGTTGTTCAAGAATCAGCTGACAGGTTTCCCCCCCCCCCTAAAATATCGATAATTTCCTTTTATACTGATTTGCAGTTTGCAAAACAATTTTTTTAATTGTAGAATATGGTTTTAATGCTTATGTTTTCTTTTTAATTTCTCTACAACTAGCTGTAAAATAATCAAAGTCTAGGATTTGTCTCTTCTCTTGTCCTTTCTAGGTATATTTGGCAGCTAAATTAATGTTGGTTTGATTTTCTTATAAATTTTGCCTTAATTGCATCTACTGAATTGAAATAAAGCTACTTTAAAAGACCTTTTTTTTGGCTTTTAATTGGCCTAGTTTTCTATTATTGTATTAATATGGAGCCATCTATTATGATCTATTTTCTTATGGAAGTGAAAAACTAATGGTTATTTGGTTTGGTATTTTCAGGATGGAATCGATTTTTCGACTTCTTTTGCACGAAAAAGTCCTTGTTCAAAGTGATCATCCTGACCCGAAGCTGCTTGCTTTGATTGGCTATCATAAGCGCGATCTTGCTACCATACTCGAAACAGCAAAATGGCAGGTATTGATTCATATTTACTCTTCAGTTTTATATCCGTTTAGCTAATTTATGTTTTTCGAGTTCCCTTAATTAGTTCACTTCATTGTTTGCTTCAATTAGTTGGAAGATTTTGAACTAGCAGTTAACTCATCAGCTAAGATGGACCAGTCTCCCTTTAAGGAGCATGTCATTTCCAGACATAAACAGTTTATTATAGCCATTAGAGAACAGATAAATAATGTTGAGAAAAGCTTGAAGGAAATGGAAATGGGGAACCCCATGAAAAACTCGTGTGGAAACTTGAATGAGCAAGATAGAGACGGTCTGGCATTATTTCTTTCTGGTGAGGATCACAATGAATGTGATATTCGTTTTGACTCGGATGATAGTGACATCATGAAAAGATTTCTTGATCCGGTCAAAGCATCTTGCTCGACAGATGCAGGAATTGTTGCAAATGGATGTGGAGAAATCAAGGAGGTAAATACGACTGGTGTTGTGTACAGTAGCCATTGCTGTGATCCTGTGAAGGAGAATAACTTAAGGAAGGTGAGTTCTCATTATTCTATAAAATTGGGACTAGATTCAGTAAACACTTGTATTGGGAATGCTGAAGATAGAAGTTGGGATTTAGAAGCTGGTGAAAGCAAAGCTAAGAGTTCCTTCCACGAGAATAAGTTGAGTGGTTCTTCCAGCAGAACTAATCTCTTTGGGTTCTTCAATAATTTATGGACTGCATATGGAAATAGTGTTCCTAGCAATTATACGAAGCGATTGAAAGATGGTGAAGAAGGGCATTCCTCCTTGTACATCAATGCGGCTCGTGCTGCATGGGTATGTTTCAGTACCCATCCTAATGCTCAGGAGTCTGTACTAGCATCAAACGAAATCGAGTTCTTAATTGCTAATATTATATTTATAAAGAACCAAATTTGTAACAATAAGCAATGTGGTTTTGTGCATTTATTCGTTTAATTGCTAAACTTGCTTATCGCTATTTTTCTGCAATTTGCAATAACTCATCATTTCCTCTATAGCAGAGAGTCATGTTATATCAGTCAATAACCTCTTCTTATGGTCTGAATCTCTTTCACAGGGTCCACGTATTGGGCTAAGTTTGGCTCTTGGAGACTGTGGTCATCGGGGATTACATGAGTCTCTCTTAAAGGCCATGCACCTTCTAAGGAGGCTTGGGGCATGTGATGCCAGATTTGTTAATCAGCGATCCATACAAATGATACTAACAATAGTATTTGCCTTCACTCTTTTAGGTAAGCACTTGATTTCTATATGCAATATATTTATCATACTCAATTTCTAATGATCTCTCTGTTTGATGCATTTTAGATCATCGAATGTACTGCATACATCTTTAACTTGTTAGGCATTCTTCTGATAGAACCGTTTTCATGCTTGTTTTCCAATCACCTGAGGTGCTCGCATATATACTATTTCTGCTGTGACTTGGGGGATTATATGACCGATCAGCTGGTGTATGGGTAACAAAGTACCAAATCATAAGTGTGTTTTTTGGCGATGTTTCCTTTAAGAACTTAAATGACATGCAACAGAAAAAAGGTTGTGCTTTAATATATTTAAAAAAAGGTTATGCTTTCGTCAATGAATCATATTGCCTATAAATCATCGAATTCCTTACAAAATGCTTCAGCATGAATTTATTTACTATGATATATAACGGCTTGGTTTCGCATTGCATCTTGTCAACGCTTACACCATGAGAGAAATATATGATTTGCTTTTTAAATAAAGGTATGCAGGAGATAAATTTATTCTACATCCAATATTTCTATTCATTCAGGTATATTGGTCTTCTACGTTGCTTGAAAACGGTCAGTCATTTGCAATTCAATGACCACAACCAACATTTTCTCACCTTCCCCTAAACGGTGTATGCAAAACTTGTGTTTTGCATGTCGATTCAGTTGTTCTGGGAGGTTATATTGTTGAAGTGCCATAAAGTCGCTAGTCTGTGATGCTGTTTGTGTTGATGATTGCCAAAGCAAGATGAGCAGCTGCAATATCAGTTAGTATTCGTGAGTAAGCCTTGACATTTGTTATATGTAATAGAAAACAAAACATCTCATGTACTCTAGATCAACAAATTTATTATGCCATTAATTCATTTCTGTGATGACATGTGTATTATCATCTGCTTTATTTCTTAGTGATGTTTGTCAGATGTATTTTATTTAACTGATTTAGAGATACTTTATGATTCAATTTAAGCACAGGAGATTCCATGGACAATAGATATTCATTTGTATACTTACAATTAAAGTATCAGTCAACAATGCCAAGGACAAGAGAGTTCATAAGCCAATTATACCTGGCAAAAAGACTTGTCCCTGTAACTTGAGCGGCAATAAAAGACTAAAACAGAGTTATCTATTAGCATATATTCCACAAGTCAAAGCAGGAACAATAAAAAAATACCTTTGCATTAAATAGTTCAACTTTTTTTGTCTAAATTACGATTGAAGATCAAAATCCATTCAGAGACTATAAATGTGCAACAACAGAACAGGGCAAAACAAACTTGAAGCTAATCAGAAAATTGTTTCAAAAACAAATGTGAACTCCAAGTGTCGAAGGAGCAGCAGCGGCAGCCAACAAATAGATACAAAACGAAAAATCACAGCCTTCTTCCACGTCTGCCACCCTTTCTACGGGTACTATCAGTAGGAATGGGTGTAACATCCTCTGCGGTGAAGAAAATGTCACATTGTCAGTTTACGAGAGTTGGGAGTAAATGGACTCGACGAAATTGAACCGAACGGATGAAAGATTTGTACCTATGCGCCCAATTTTCATTCCAGAACGAGCAAGTGCTCTAAGTGCTGATTGGGCACCAGGACCGGGTGTCTTGACCTTGTTACCTCCAGTAGCACGGAGCTTTATATGAAGGGCTGTAATACCCAACTCCTACAGATAACGTTCATGAGCAAAAATAAGTTCAAGGCATGGAACTATTTGGCACAAAGTTCAAATAGGTAAGCAATAGAAACCTTGCAGCGTTGAGAAACATCTTATGCTGCAAGCATGGTTGCATAAGGGGAAGACTCGTCCCTATCAGCTTTCACCTTCATTCCCCCTATGTATAAAAATTCGTAAAAATACACTTCATAGAAACAACTCCGAGCAGGGACATGAATATCAGCGCACATTGACATGTTTGATTAACAAATTATTAATAACTAAATCTTAAATGATCCATTGAAATTGGGGGATGACAAAAACCCAAGATAGCAAAAGATGAACATAAACCATACCGGTGATGCGAACCATTGTTTCCCTTCCGGGCAAATCTGTCACATGCAGCTCAATGACATCATTTTAAAAGGAATGAACTACCACAAAACAAAATCAATGTAAAACAGAGAAGCTGAGAATGTTATCACTTACTATAAATGTGTCGTTAAAAAAGCAAAAATGTGAGCCACTCCATAAACATACTCGCCTTCTCGGACAGCAGGTCCAAGGGTAGTACTCTCCTCCTCGGGATCCCTAACCTTTCTCCTCGACTACAGAATACCACAAATCAAAGGAAGTGTCACCTAAATCTGCTTTAAACTAATAAAAACACTAATAAAAAATATCCTATGAATCTAAATAAACACCATTGGCAACAAATACAACGTTAAATCTAATCTAACTAGTAAATGATTCCAATAAGAAATTTCCCTTTCCAAAAACTAAAAGACAAAGCTTTGAGCATTTCCAGTTTTTATTTAGCCTCAGTGTTTTTCAAGCATGGAAACGGGCTTTGGTCCTCTAATTTATTTGATGGTTTAGTCATCTTACCATCATTAATATTATGTTTTACTCCTTATTGTTAACATAATTAAAAAATAATTAGTTGGATGATTTATAATTTAGAAAAACTATAAAAATTATATGTTTACCTTATTTAAGACAATGCGAAAAGTTGAGGGATAAGCAAGCAAGTGTAACGGGTTGGAATTACTTGTTTGTTTCATTTGATTTACGACTGGAGTTGATTTGGGGAGCGGGGGAATAATATTGACAGCTGCGGGATTTGAACCCACGCCCTTTCAGACCAGAGCCTAATTCTAGCGCCTTAGGCCACTCAGCCAAACTGTCCCGTTTATAAACATTTTAAATTAATTATTACCGTAAAACTTAAAATCACAAATCGCTAGAAGGAGGGCTTGAACCTCCGACCTTGTGGTTAACAGCCACACGCTCTAACCAACTGAGCTATTCCAGCTTCGTTATAAGGCTTTGAGTAACAAAACTTTAAGATTTAAAAATAGTTGGAAGTCAACATAGATCTCTCTAGCAATACCCATATGTACCTCAAACCTTAACAACCACTTTCTTGCTTAAGCAGCGGAGTCTTATTTTTCTTAATCTCAATATTTTGAATAATATATATTTAAATTTTTTCTTAGTTATTAATAACATATATACCTCTTTCAAATATAATTGTTTAAACTCAGATCCTTTAAAGAAAACAATATTCACTTTACCATAATATTATACAATAATGAATACTTTTTTGGTGAAAATTTATAAATACTACTTTATGAAAGTTTCATCCTTTCACTTTTATACTATAAGAAAAAACCTCAAATATCATTATTAAATAAAGTAAAATTAATTTCATTAAAATATGTTTAAGGAATAGTAATATACTCAAGTTAATGAGAGATAGTGAAAGGCCTTTTTGATAAAAAAAAACATTTTTGTTAGTTTATAAATATTTTTAAATATATAGATTTTAATAATTTTAAATTTATTATTTTATTTATATTTTTAAATATTCAATAATTTGCATATTTTTAGAATTTTAAATTTTAAATAATTCCTTAATGTAAAATAAGCTCTTGAAATTTAAAAAAAAATTATCATGCCTCTATCATGTTATCATCTACATGTGAATTTCACACGTGTACTGTGAATTAATATGTCATTATTGTTTTAGTTAACATTATTTTTAATTGGTTAAAGAGTCACGATAATTAATTTTTTGAGCTTAAAGACTAAAATCAGATGTAAAAATAACTCATGATCTCAATTAACTTTTTTTAAAAGTAAGTTTTTTCACACACTTAAATATTTTAAAATCTACAACCACCTCCATAGTTATTAGATACATCCACCTCTATTCCACCTAGTTTCAATCTGTTTTTTTTTTATTATTATTTGTAAAAAGTTTGAGGTGATTACAATAGTAATATATGTTTAGAATATTTTTAATCATTGACAATGCACTCGCTTTATAAATACAGGTGCTTGAAACTATAACCTTAAAAGAGAATAACACTCCATTGAACCCCGTTTCAATATGATTTTTTAAAAAAAATATAGACTATAATTTTACTAAGAAGCTTTATTACAATGTATAATTCATATATAAAAATTAATTAACTTTTAAATACACTTAAGTTATATATTCAAACTAAATCATTCTTCATTGATATTAAAAAAAAGAAATTTAAACAATTAGGTTTATTCTATAATTTTATTTCATATTTTTACTCTGTAAATAATTTTATATAAAAATGATAAAGTACAAATTCTACCTATCGAAATAGGTGAATTAAAACAAACAAATATCAAAATCGCTTTGTCCCACATCAAATGTCAAAGAAAAACAAATCAATGTGTTAAATGTTGTCATCCTTAACCACAATCTTCAAATATGAACATAAACATAAGAGAAATCAAATAATAAGTATTCAAATATTAATTTCGTATCCACTTTGAAAATAGTGCATAATACCAAAAGTTGGTCAAGGCAATTCGTTCTAATAGTATTGGATTAGGGAGGTCAGCTGGGCGTTTGACTTTTTGTTGATTGGTTAAGAGAATATCGTTCTTTTATGAGTTGGTATTTCGTCATAAGTTTTGTAATTTTTTTTGCTGACTTCTCCTACTCCATAATCTCTGTATATTTCAACGTATTAAATTACTATAAAGAAACAGGTCCCAATAGCAAAAGTAAGTTTTTTTAAAAAAATTTTATGTTACTATTATTTAATTATTATTGCATGCTTCCCTCTCATTTGAGCCCTCTATAAAAGCTTCATCCATCAAGCGAAGTTTCATCACAAACTAAGCATTTTCTCATACACAACTTTCAGCTAGCTAAGTTATATCCACTTCAAAATACACATAAAAAAAAGCAAGAATGAAGAGCGGTGATCATGCAACCATTGATGTCCCAGAGTCAAGCGCTGTTGCAAAAGGCAAAGCACCTCTCATCGGGTCTCAGAGGGAGCAAAGAGAGGGCTGAACAAGGGATTGGGCATTGCGGACTTCCTTCTGAGACTAGGAGCCATAATCACTGCTCTTGCCGCTGCTGCTACCATGGGGACCAGCGACGAAACTCTTCCTTTCTTCACCCAGTTCTTCCAGTTCGAAGCTGGTTATGATGATCTCCCCACCTTCATGTACGTCACATATATAATATACAACATAAACACGCGTATCCACTTATCTAACCTACGAAACTGAGACATAAATGCAGTTTTTTCGTCATAGCGATGGCACTGGTCGGCGGCTATCTCGTCCTTTCGCTCCCTTTCTCCGTAGTCACCATCTTCCGCCCTTATGCAGTTGCACCCAGACTCTTAATATTCATCTTGGACACCGTATGCAACTCTGTTAAAATCTTTAAATTTAATCCAATATCCGAAAAGAGAAAAAATGATAATGTTTTTGGTGGAATATATATGGCAGGTGGCATTGACTCTGACCACGGCGGCCGGCGGGGCAGCGGCAGCCGTAGTTTACTTGGCTCACAATGGAAATTCCAGCACGAACTGGCTACCCATCTGTCAACAGTTTGGTGATTTTTGCCAGAATGTGAGCGGAGCTGTGGTGGCATCTTTCGTGACTGTTGTGGTCTTCATGATGTTGATTCTACTCTCTGGTTTTGCTCTCAAAAGGCGCTGAAGAATTTATAACTTAGTGATTATTACGTATCTTAAGGTTTCCTATGGTTTTTTTCCTTCTTTTTCCTAAAGTGTGTTTATAGTAATTACAAATTAGAATTATCATTGTTTGGCTGTATGAGATTCCATTGTGCTTGGAGGAAACTACAATTATTGTAATGAAATTAACGTGTTCATTGTTCAACAAATATTCCAGTTTTTCCCCTTTTATAATTATATATGTATATTAACAAACTTTATATTTACATTACCTTATTACTCTTTAAATATTTTTGTATTACTGAAGGTTAAATGTTAATTTAAAATTTTAATTTTAACTTTTTACGT